TCATTTTTTAAATTCTGAAGAGAGTCATTTTCTCTTTTCATTACTGGAACACTGTTTTGATCTATTAATTGTTTTGATGGTGGGCCTTTATCTCTATATAATTCTCATACATAAAGCAATTTGGAATCTCCTTTTCAAATCAATTTGGAGGCAACCTCTTGTTTATTAGGAGATAGATAAAGCTATTCATTGGATGCTTGATTGATAAAATTTCCAGCTTGTGTACCTCTAGAATTGATCTTTGACTCATTTGATATCTTTAGTTTCGTACTCCACTATGATGGAAGAAGACGCTTGGGTCTCGGTGGCTAGACGTGTGAGTTTTTGAATCTTGGTGGCATCTTTTGCACATAAGTTAAAAGCTTCACTCGTAAGATGATGAAAACCCTAGAACATTGTCAGCAGTGAGACTTTTCTATCTTCAACAGTAATCTTGCTCCAACCACCGACTATAGATCCTTAGAGCATGTCTCTTTACTATATAATTTTAATCTTGTTAAATTGAATGTACAAATCTTTTTGGAATAATAGAACCACTGACAATGCATATTGTGACTTTGCATCATAATTGTTCTATTACATTTTCTATTTTAGGCATCAACTGATGTAGATAGTTCAGAAATGGAACATGCTAGCCAGATTAAAGCTGAGAACGGTGACGTCGAGCCAGCAAGTGGTCTTAAAGGAAATTTTGAAGAGCTGGATTTTGTGTCATCACTACAACTAGAAGAAGGTGGTAAACTGAAGGAGTCCAAAACATTAGATACTTCTGAAGAGACGATCATCGATGAATCTGCTAGAGTTAGAAAGAGGGGCATTCCTCCACCTGGACTTGGTCGGAAAATTTACGAAATAGACCCCCTTTTGACAAACCATCGTCAACACCTTGATTACAGGTAAAAATGTTTTCATTTGTTGAGTAATTTGCCTATTTTAGAGGCAGCATTCGTTGATTGGGAGATTGAGAGATGATATTATATCGTCTATAGGCTGTTTTTTTTTTTTCTGTGATGATCTGGTTGATGATATTTAGGTTTTATTATAGACTTCAATATGCTGCTGCTTAGCAGTCCTGCTGTGTGTGTATATATATGAAATCTTTCTGAACATTCTTCAGCAACTTAGTTGCAAATTATCTGCCAGGACATAGGATCTGCGGATTTATCTTTGAGGGTAATATGGCTCTGTTATGCATCTTGTCAAAACCTTAATTTCTTCCATTGCGTAGATTGACATCTATACAATTGAACAAATCAGCCCAATGATTCCTTGTGTTTTTTCATAGGCAGACCCCATAAGATGAGCACTCACTGGTTGAAACACCACTGAGTTGACTAACCATACTTTCCGCTAACCACTACTCCAGCATTCCTTCTTGTTGAGACTTGAGAAGTTTACCTGCATAGCCATTTGCATACCATTTGTATAAGAGCTTCAGGCTTCTTCATGTTTCTTACTCCTAGATCACCGTCCTCCTTTCACTTCTACACTTAGCCCACCTAAGTAGCTGGTACTTTTTGGCTTCTGCATTTCTTTCCCATAGGAATGCCTTCTGAGCTTGTCACACGTTTAGGACACAGGAAGGTAGTGGTGTTGTTGGAAGAAGACTATCTAGGACTCAATTAATAAATACTAGTCTGCCACGCATTGAAAGATAGTGCCTATTCCAGTTTGACAGCCTCCTCTCCACCTTGTCTAACTCCATTCCCCTGCTGTGTCTATATATTTGGCCCTGAGAGAACTCCCTGGTAAATGGTGGGTAGTTCACCGATTCTGCGTTTGATCAGGTCAGCCAGTGAGTGTATGCTGTGAACTTTATTGACTGGGAAGAGAAATTTTTGTTCATTATTGATCCTTAGGCCAGGAACTGCCTCAAAGGCATCACGAATGACTCTTAGGTGCATCAGTTGCCTCTCCACAGCATCACAGAGCATTATGGTATTATCAGCATAAATATGGGGGTAATGGAGGCAATTCGAAGGTTTACTGGCTCCACATTAAATCCCTTAATCCATCCCCTGTCTGCAGCCACTTTCAGCATATTTTTAAGTCCCTTAATCCTTTGGCCATGGACAAAACGGGAGATAGGTGACCACCACTTGCGTGAACAAAGAGGGAGATGATCACCTTGTCCCAAGTCTCATTGACAGGGGAAGAAGCCTTCTGGGGAACCATTGACCAGTTAAGATGCACAGTTTGGTCCATCTGACCCATTTTTTTAATGCTTGGTTTAGGCATTGCCAGCCACTGTTTTTGTTTCTACCCAATTAAGATGCTTTATAATATTTTAGTCATTGTTTGAAACATAATTTTTTTTTTCAATCTGAATGCTCTTAGTATTTTCTGTTTTGTCATTGTCATCGATGCTTGTTTTCAATGGCCGTGGTCCTATGTTAGGTTTGCTTGTTCTTCTGCCTAGGTTTGAGTATTTGCTTTGTAAATTCTTCGTTTTTGTCTCCCAAGTCTAATTCTTGAAGGACGCAATAGGCCCATAGCTCAGCAACATGCTAGTTTAATTTCTAGTAGCAGTCTACCATGCTCTGTATTGGTTGGACTGTTCGTCAGCAGTTCTGTTTTATTCTTCAACTTTCCAATTTTACTAACTCTGAGAGCCGATTGCTCACATGCACTTCCAAAATTTTTGTTCTTTCTCAATGAATTGTTCTCTTTGTTGGATGTTCTTGCTCTCGAGGCATTATTTGCCTTTGGTTATGCAATTATGGTTATGCTCTTGGTGTATCTATATGCCTCAGCATTTATGTGCTTCGTTCTTCCCCAAGTGGCAGTGCTATCTTTCTCTGAATTTCCTGCGCCTGGACATGGCCAGCTAAAATCTAAAGAATTCTTTTCTATGCTGTCCCCTTTTAGGTTTTCAGAGTACAAGAAAATGAGGGAGGCAATTGACAAGTATGAGGGTGGTTTGGAAGCTTTTTCTCGTGGTTACGAAAAAATGGGTTTCACTCGTAGGTAATAACTGCTTTCTATCTTATTTAATTTTCTTTCTGAAGGTATTCGAGACCGGCCTTGTGCAAAACCTTGTCAATTTCATGCCATAATGTTATTCGTTGACGCTAACTTGGTACTTCTTTGACCCACAATCGTACCTATAGAGGAGTGAAAAGGTGATTATAGGTTTTAATATCTGCAGATAAAAGAAAGAGAAACAGATTACATTTTGTATTTGAAGACATGTATATAGCAGCGGTTAATTCTTGACATGCTCAGCCCTTTACAAAAATAGCTATCATCTAGTTTCTAGCAATCTAGGCATGGTATATATTGGAATTGGAATTATTTGTCTCAGACAGCAGCAGTGATTCTGGGAAAGTGACATTCCGAAGTTAATGTTTACGAAAAGGAACCATCTGGAGCTAGTGTTACACCTAATTGTTGGAAGAGAATCTATGTACTTCATTGATATTGTTTTTCCCTTTATTGTAGATGTTTTTACTTTCTGTTTTTCTTTTCCTTGGAGTATATGTAAGTTATATCAGATCTGTAAGCCTGACCTTAACTGTAGATGCTCCTTCTTTCCCTTAGTAAGTTTGCTCTACTGAGAGGGGCTGAAGTACCAGTCACTGATTGCCTGTGAACTTTGTTGCCAGTGCTACAGGTATCACTTATCGGGAGTGGGCTCCTGGTGCCAAGGTCAGTGTTTCCTTTCTTGTTTTTTAGGATTCTCTATGATAAAAAGGACCGCAAAATTGATAACCACTTCTTTTTAAAGTAAAAGGTGAGAGAAATTAAGAGAAAGTAGAAAGGAGAAGATTTATGTTTTAATTCTCAAGAAAGATGTTTAAGGACTTCTGACCTAAAGATGTTTCTTGTCTGATAGTTTAGAATATTGTAATTGCTCCACAGTTTCTGTCATTTGCACAGATTATGGCCTTCACCCTGGATGGAGTTCTGACCTAAAAACGATGATAAAGAGTCCTTTGGCTTAACTTATTAAAGTTAGGCTTTGTTTCTTGATAGCATTACTCGCTACCTCTTCAAGCTTGATCTAGGCCTCGACTTGGTGAGCCATTTTTTTCCCCCATCTACTTGGTGAGCCATTAACCTAGTCTGTAAGACTTATTCTGGTCCAATGTGATGGTCACTTGGAGGATGGAGTGACAATGGACATATATTAAGTCATCTTTTCAGAATAAAGATCAAGAACTGAGAAACTATTTTAGAATACTCCAGGTTGCAAACTTCTGTATCCCAAAATAATTAGTGAATCATCTTTCTTCTGCCACTGCCCACTAGCAAGTAAAAGATCTATTTTGGCATGTAAGAATTAGCTCCCAGGATTCCTAGGACTACACTGACTCAAGATCTGCCAACTACGTACAAATTTGTCTTGAGGAACACGACCATGATATATTTTGACCTGGCTTGTCTTATGCCAGTATGGGTACCTATAACAAACAGCAAACCAAGTGTTTCTCTTTTGGTTAGAGTGTGCTTTTATCAGCATAAAATGCTGTTTCTTGATTTTTACCAAGTCCGATGAGTTCAGTACGCTGATTTTACATTAAGGAGCCTTCTAAAAGAAAGGAGAATCCCTTCAGCAACACGATATTGCTGGATGTATGGCAGAACATTTTTCTGCCAAAGCTGCAAATTCTGACGTTTTGTGTAAACTGATTACTAAAGAAATAAGGTTCAAGTGCAGTATACGGTGAAATGAGAGATCATTAATGTGAAATAAAGTGTAAAGTCATTGGTGATCTCCTTATATGCCCATCAGTTTTTATACCAACTTCTGCATTTTGTTTAAGATATGATAATATCGTTTTGTGAAAGTCTAAATTGCATGTATATCCTATCCTTTCCCTTGCAGTGGGCTGCCCTCATTGGAGATTTCAACAATTGGAACCCAAATGCTGACGTCATGACTCGGGTATATCCCTTACAGTACATATCCAAGTGGTTCTGTTGCCATTTTTGTTTGAGAGCCTTGTGTTCTTTACATTTGATTGTCTTTGCTACTCATTTCACAGTTTCTAACAAATTTCTCGTATTCTTATTTCTGTTTACCTTTTCTATTACCCCTTTGTTGATCGAGTTATATTGGCACGTGATCCCCTTTTCAAATTTGCATGTTACAAGGGAGTCTTTGCAAGAAAATATGGATTTCTTAAGATTTCAAAGTAACTGTTTCTTGACTTCTTTCTGGTAAGGCTCATATTTCGTTAGTTCCTTGATAGTAAGTCTGAAAATGACGACACACTTTAAATTGGTATTTGGTGAGAATAGTGCTTTCTATGTCTGGTTACTTATCAAAAAAAGAAAAGAAGTCTAATTATTCCGTCAGATGTTCCATTGATCTGATAAAATGAATTCAAGATCTGGTGTTGTTCTTGAGATTTTTCCGAGTCTTTCAGAATTCTGCTTTACTTCTACGAGCATGCAACAAAATTCCTTCTTTTTCAGTTCATTGCACAAAAGGGATCAACTGGATAATAGACAATGTACAGGTCAAAGAGGAGCTATACAAAAATTATTGCTCTCTGCCGAAGACATCCTATCACCTATACAAGTTGCATCTTTTGAGTACTCCTGAAGTACTCTAAGAGAACATCATACGTTCTGTTTGGAACAAAAGAAAGTCCCACTTGTACTTGTCAAAAAAAGGAAAAAGTTCCACTTGCTCAAGAGATCTTCTATTCTCTTCTTTCCGAATTGACAGAACCATCACTTGAGGAATTTCTGTCCAAGCATTGTCTTTATTCCTTCTTTCATTTATTTTCCAGTTTCCCAAAAATTCTTCAGGCATTATCCAACTACTTCCCTGAATTTTTATGGATCATATTCCACAGATATTATACAAGTTTCCACTGCTATAGTAGACGAGTCGCATCTTCACTAGCTTCCATTGTCTTTCTCTTCTCTTTTCTCCTTTTTGCCCCTTGGGGCGNACAATGAAGGATATGTAGAAGGATCATCTATTTGCATTCACTTTTATATAATATCTAATTGTACGAGTAGTGAAGAAGTATAGAGACAATATCACAAGAGTAATCTGCATAGTACTGCTGTTTTGATCTAGGATGATGGTGGTTAACATGTTGATTGAAGCTCTTAGTATTCTCTTACCATCTTATAAAGACATGTTATGCTTTGCATGTTACAATGTTAAGCTCTATGCAGTGATGGAATGTTGCATAAAACTAATTCATGATCTATAAGCAGAACGAATTTGGTGTCTGGGAAATTTTTTTGCCAAATAATGTGGATGGCTCTCCTGCAATTCCTCATGGGTCCAGAGTGAAGGTATGTTCATTTTCTACAGTGCTCTGATTGACTTTTGGGTATTTTATCCATTGGCTGTCGATACTACTGTTTTCCACCTTTCAGTTAAAATACTTGTGTCAAAGAATGTTCAAGATTCTTTTTAGTTATATAGGTCTATTCACTTCTAAGCCTGATAAGTGCTGGCTGCAAACTCTTTCAAGGAGATATGTTTTAACAAAGTTTATAGTGTCTCTTGTCTCCCCTCTTGCTCTCTCTTTCAGCACACAGACACCCCAACCCACCTCTTCCAAAAAGAAACAATATAAATATTCATCCATGAATGAGCTTTCAAAAGTTGTTTCCCTGATTCAATTTCTTAATTATTCAATTCAAGATTAGTAACAATGAATATCATTATTTGATTTTCTAAGTTTGATCTAATGTTCTAGGTCAGAGTATTTAATTGTAATTCATCATCTCCATAATGTATATAACATATATTTTCACTGTGCTTGTTTCATAATATAATCATAGTTTATCGTCTATGTCTGATCCTTGTGGTTCTATGCCACTATTTACTAATATTACTCTAATATACTGAAAATGTAGATACGTATGGACACTCCATCAGGTGTTAAGGATTCCATTCCTGCTTGGATCAAGTTCTCTGTACAGCCTCCTGGTGAAATTCCATACAATGGAATATACTATGATCCACCCGAAGAGGTTACACTCTTTTCTCTGTTGTTGCTAATTGCCCAGTATATGGACTTGTATTTGGTTCGTCATACAAAGGAATGTGGTAAAGACATGATTAAATAAATTAAGGTGTCTATCTCGAACAACTTTAGCTTTTAGATGAGTTTTTCACACACTCCCACATGGTAGCAGAGTAGGTAGAGGTCCTGGGTTTGAGTCTCACCGCCACTCATTATCAGGAAAAATTTCCTCGTACTTGGCACATGAAAAAGAATTAGACCCACACATGAAGGGGCATGTTGAAGACATAATTAAATAAATTAAAGATGCCCTTTATAATAGCTTAAGCTTTTAAATGAGATGGTCACACTCAATGGAATGGAAAATCTTTATTAGTTTGAACTCATATGTGAAAACCCATACTGGAAAATTCACATGTGGCTGCATTTAAGTTTGGCATTATTCTTTTGTTTGGATAGTAATTGAAATGGCTAAATGGGTTTTACTGGAAATAAATAAAGATTGCTACTAAAAAAAAAATAGAAATACTAGATGATCGAATTACTTAAGGAGTATGCTATCCCCTTTTATAATGTTCTTTTTTTTTAAATTATAAGTAATATGATATTTTATAAATACTTGCATTAAGCCAGTGCAACAAGTGTAGCTACAATTGTGCAAATCCTCTATTGTGTCTAGCATTGCATTTAATCATGTGCAACGACCAGTTTGCACCAAAACGCTACAGTAGATAAGGTTTTACAATCGAGCTGTATTAGAAACATATAAATTATTTGAATATGGAACTTTATTGAGCATCAATTATCTGAGTTTAAGAGAAGAAGGCTCTAAACCATGGTTAACAGGTGCATAAGGGAAAAAAATAAGCTCCAGAAGTCTTCATGGCTTTTTGCTAGTTTTTCCAATTGAGATACACTAGGATTTGCAACCTGTTAATAGCAAATTTTGTCCGCTGAAAACTTTCTTATTTCTTTACAACCAAATGCACCTTAATAAGCATTTTATACTGTAGCCATATGCTTTCCCCTTCCACCCCCAAAATAGCGAGCCTAAATGAAAGGGAATCGTAGACAAAATGTGACACGAGCCACACAACATACTCATGCCTCAAGCCCAAAAATGAGGGTCCAACACTTGTTCACGTGTTCACGCTGAACAACTATATGCTTAACGGCTTAACTATTTCCTCAGCTTCCTTACAAAACACATTTCAAGCTATAGCTTCAAGGTGCAATATTTGGACCTAGAGAAATACTAGACCAGCTTTGCTGTCAGAACTCAGAATCCTTTCATATAAAGAGATTCTTTCCGAGAAATCATTGAGCGATTAGAGTGATCTCTTTCCTAAGATTAGCTTGATCTCATATTTATTTAGCAATAAACTAAGTGATAAGTTGGCGGAATAGTCACTTAGTACTGGTGGGAGATATACCCGGTGGAATAGTCGTCATAAAAAAAGAAAAAAGAATATGTTGATAAGTTAGGGATTTGTGTGGCATAGAGTTTCAATGAAAAAGCTACAAAATATGCTGACATGTTAATGTATGGATTTGAGCTAGTCCCTTGCAAGCATACATTAATAGTCTTCTACGAACTCTTCTTTTTCATGTTCTCCGGTATATTTGTCCAGTTGATTTGTTGATTAGCTTATTTAGTAGTGTCTTGCACAGCAGTCTGTGAGCTAGAAGTTGTCCTTTTCTTTCCTACGTAGGTGCTTGTATTCCCTTGCTAATTTCTGCATCCTCACAAACTCTATTTTGTTTCTGTCATTTGTTTTCATGTTATGATTCGTTTTCAATTCCTTGTAGGAGAAGTATGTATTCCAACATCCACGGCCAAAGAAACCAAAGTCACTGAGAATATACGAATCTCATATCGGAATGAGTAGTCCGGTGTGCATCCCTCCTCTTTCATGTAATTTTATAATTTATGAATCTGATTTTTGTTATTTCATTTCATGTTGGACCTGTCATGACTACCGTATATGTGAACATTTAGTCATCAGAGTTGCTATTTCTCTAAAGTGGCTGTTGAAATTCGAACTGAAGTGATTGCTGGTTGATTAAGGTTTTGCCGTGTGGTGTTCTGGATGTTAACTTTATGAACCAGAGGTTAATTCTTTTCTTGCTGTTCTAGAAATGACATCTGAAGGCCCCTTTTCACATGTCGATATTGTTCTTTACCAAGTAATCATCTTCCACATAAAAGCACGGCAGGATAGGCAGACTGAGAATTTGTCAAGTGCGAACACTTGTGTATTTTTGGCTCTTTTACTTTACTATTACTATTCTCTGTTTATATGACCTAGTTTTCGAGAACTATAGAAGAAAAAAAGTACCAGATACCTTTTTACTGTGCCAAGATTTTTTGAGTGTTTCCAGCTGTTTATATGGATTTCTTCATTTTTGTGATACTTTTGTATATGGATGGTATGATAGCAAGAACTGATTCCCCGTGCATATATATCGTAGCTGTAAAATGTGATGCATCAGAGATGTGAATATTTGGGCCCTTTGTCTTTATCAAAAAAGAAATAAGATAAAATATTTACCCCTTTTTCTATTCCATTTTCTCCCAAGCTACTAGGACCGTAGTTAAATGCTATATTCATTTTCAAGAAGCTTTTAGTTATTTCTTATCTCAGTCTCCTTAAGTTTTGCTATTTGTCTGAACTATTGAGTTTATGTTGTTATTCTCTGACCCTACAGATGATTTGTGATGCAGGAGCCTAAAATTAACTCATACGTGAATTTTAGAGATGAAGTTCTTCCTCGCATAAAAAAACTTGGATACAACGCTGTGCAAATTATGGCTATTCAAGAGCATTCTTATTATGCTAGTTTTGGGTAATTCTAGTTTTTATGTTTGCATTTGTTTCCCTGGTTACTCTATATCTTCAGCAAGTCGTCTCAGTTTCTCATCTAGTCAACTGGTGTCAGTAACTGTTTTAACTGACTACTTTAGTATTTCTAATGCAACTCGTTATCCTTCTTTGTCTCAGTTATCATGTCACAAATTTTTTTGCACCAAGCAGCCGTTTTGGGACGCCTGATGACCTTAAGTCTTTGATTGATAAAGCTCATGAGCTAGGAATTGTTGTTCTCATGGACATTGTTCACAGGTATTGCAACTGTGTTTAGTGAATCTATGGATCAAGTCTTTTTGTCATTTCATGTTTTTGATTGTTGACATATAGTTTTCCTTGTGAAGAACTAGTCAATCTGATGGTGGGGATGTTGGACACTTACCATAAAAATGCCTAAAAATTTGCCTTTTGGAATTGATGAATTATAAAATGCTGTAGCTTCTAATTATGTGGATTAGTTTTCCTGTCTACATATGATGAACGTTGCTGCACTCATAAGGATAACCAAGGAGAGGTGTGGAGATATTCTCCTTATTTTTCTGTAGGTGGGGAAATATTCATTAAGAAACATTAATCGCACATAATCTTTTCTGCCAGATGCATTATGCTACTCGATGCCTAAAAAACATTGTTTCGCTCCATGTTGAGGTCTGTTTTCTGTTCTTGTGGTTAAGATGCAAGTGCATAGCTTTCAGATTAGGCTTTATTTTTTATTCCCATGGATCCATCATTAATTTTTCTCTTCCGTGGGTGCATTTCCTATAGTCTAATTCATAAATGAAAGAAATGGTGCTTAATTCTTACATCTGGTCGTAATAAGAGTTATTCTTTTTTTATTGGCACTTATTTTCTATTGACAAGCTTTACTTTGCCCTTAACTCACTGTAACCGTGCAACTTTTTTGCAGCCATGCATCAAATAATACTTTAGATGGGCTGAACATGTTTGATGGAACTGATAGTTGTTATTTTCACTCTGGATCTCGTGGTTATCATTGGATGTGGGATTCCCGCCTCTTTAACTATGGACACTGGGAGGTACTTTCTTCCTTTCAAATATGAGTCAACCAGAACCTTGTGCCTCGTGTCCATGGGTGTGACAGAAACTATGTTTCTTGTTATAGGTACTTAGGTATCTTCTCTCAAATGCGAGATGGTGGTTGGATGAGTTCAAATTTGATGGATTTAGATTTGATGGTGTGACATCAATGATGTATACTCACCACGGATTATCGGTAAAGTTGATCCAACATAATTTTTATACTCAATTTTGTGATCATAAGTGACAGCTTTTAGACAACAAGGTGCCTGGTAACTACCAAATTATGGGGAAAAAAACCTAGTTGACCTTTGTATCATTCTATGGAGTGCGCAGCAGTTATTTAGTACTCTAGTAAGCAACTCATAAAGTAATTAGGCATCTAATTGCAACAATTCCTTTTTTAGTACCATGGCCATTTATTAGCCAAGGCATTGTGATTTTAATAGTGTCTAGAAGAATTCGTACCTTCTCTTCATTTTATTTAGTATTACCCTGGTATTACCATTGTATAAAATCGGCTTCATTATTTGTTCCTCTTCTTTCCTTGAATAAGCTAAATGCCTGCAAGTCATGTTAATTCTCTGCCTGAATGTCTAAGATAAATCTGTCCAATCAAATGGAAAAATAATTTAGCGAATGTCTTGCACCCAATGGTGTGGTCCAATGGTCAATGAAGTGGAGAAGAACGACGAGGTCTCAAGTTCAAATCTCAGCGGAGACAAAAAACACTAGGTGATTTCTTCTCATCTGCCCAAGCCTTAGTGAGCCGAGTTATCTGGTACTTGTGCTGGTGGTAGGTGGCAGTTACCGATGGAATTAGCTAAGGCGCATGCAAGTTGGCCCGGACGCAAAAAGGAAAAAAAATAGTTTAGCGAAAATCTGTTGGTGGTTTTCACTTAAGAGGGCAAGTGACCTCTTAAGGAGCTGAAGTACAATTTTTGTAGTTTACATCGAGTAGTTAATTTCCATTATTTTTGCCCTCTCTTTGGGTTGAGCAAACTTTGAATTGCTTTTACTTGTAAAAAGTTCTTGAAAGAGATGAATTATATATGGATTAAAGGTGTCTATGCGAATGAGATTACTATAAAACAGACAGGCTGAAGAGTTGCATGATTTCCAAATTTGCAAAAGTATGGAAGAACATGTTAGTCAACAATTTCGAATCGATCAATTCAATATGCTTTCATCCAAAATTAGTTGAAGTCGACTATATGAATCAGCTGTATCTGTTCCATCCTATTCAGGTTAATATTTAAAGGATTAATCAGAGTTGAACTACTTTTATGCTAACCTCAACCTAATGTGATCCCCCTCATCCAAGCTTGAGACTGACTATACTTCGCAAGGCTCACATAGGTGGAGTTGGTAAATACTTTTCCAATATCTACAGAATATAATGAAAAATTAAGGTTTATGAGATTCTCTTTTTAGCTTCAGGAACTCTATAGTAGTTATACGCACAGCTAATGTCATACTATTTGGAAATATCAGTTTCCTTCTTTCTGCTTCATGTGTTTTACCAAGGTGGTCTCTCCAGTATTCTGCTAAACTACTTACCTGATGCATTTTAATTTCTATAGGTGGCATTCACTGGGAACTACAATGAATATTTTGGATTCGCGACTGATGTGGATGCTGTGGTGTATTTGATGCTTGTCAATGATCTTATTCACGGGCTTTTCCCAGATGCGATTACCATTGGTGAAGATGTAAGTACTTGTCATATTGACCTTATGGTGACTGGAATGCTCTGAGATCGTGTGTAAAATCAAAATAGTCCTCAGTATGCTGAATTTCTGATGGTAGGATCTTCAAGCTGGAGGATACCATCTGCTAGCACCACCTATAAAGTTTGTATGAAAAGTTTCAATAATATTAAAAAAACAGCTTAGAGAATCAATTTGGTTATGACGTCAGGGGATATAAGTTTTTGTTCTAAGAGGAGTCTGGTTCAATTTTCAGAAAACTACTGCTTAGAAAAGTTTATTTTTTAATGTCTCCGAACTGCTTCTCCAAATTCTCGACTTCCTGAACCCTGTTCAAAGAGAAATCTGAAGTTTCAGTGTTCCCCATCTCTAATATAGGTATAAAATTCCCTTAATGAACGCAAGTGGAAACCCAGTATAGAAAGTTTAAGGAAATTTCTTGTTCATTTTCCAGTGACAACAAGTCTATTCTGCTGATTATGCTGACTGGAGTCTTTTCTGATCTCCAGAATAAAATTAAAAGAGAAAGGTCTTTGCTCCTAATTTTTCTCCAATGGACTTCTACCTTATTATTATCCCCTCATGTCAGATCATCCTCTCCTTATCTCCTCTGTGGCCATCTTAACTTTCCCCCATCAGAGGGTTCAATTCTTGAGCATCACCTGTGGCAATATCTCAAATTAAATACTGTTGGAAACTTGGAATGATGCTAACTGTCTTACCTTCCCTGATTATTTTATCTTGAGATGGATCAGTTTCATTCTTCAGACAATGGGGTAATAGTTTTGTTACATATGTTTGATGCCCTTTATTTCCTGCTAATGTTGGTCAAGCCTTATTTTGCCCTTGTCGACTTTAATGTATAACTAAAGATAAAAAAACTATCTGAAAATTTGTTGCTCTTAAAAACATTTTCTGTTTTAATTTCTAATTTGAAGATAGCTCTGCAAAAGCCAACGTGAAGTCTCTGCTTTTCATATGCTCGTATTTCTTATCTGAGGATCTATTCTTTCCTTTAAATGGCTTACTGGGTATGATGGATGTATTTGTACGGCCTGTTGTAAAAGTCCAACATAATGTATGCGACTTATGTGGGATTGATACCTTGGACAATCAGTGTTAAGATCGGGTTAGTAGGCCGAGGATAAAATTTCAATGGTCTAGGTAGCATATTCTCCAAAAGTAGTTCCTTTATAAGTTAGTGGTCTGGCTATTCCTTTTAAGGTCAAGCCCCTTATGTTAAGTTGACTAAAAAGCGAGTATGATCTTCATGAAAATGGAAGGATGCACCATGTGGTAGTAGCAACTCTTACTACAGCCTTAAAAAATGCATTATATAAATTCTTTTTTCCTCATTGTTTCCTATAGAGTGGATGTGGATGTTCATTTTGTCTTTCGGAAGACCAATAGGTAGCACTTAGTTTTGAACTTCTTATCCTCGTTGTTGTTGTCTTTCTTTGGTTCCATATTACAGCCAATCCTCTTTCTAGGTTTCTTTGAAAAATTTTTTCTCTTGATAACACTCACTTCATTGTTAATTCTATTTCACATTCTTAATTCCTGATTATCATATATGGAACTTAATTATGGGCCTGCTCTGTTATATGTCTTTATTTTCTCCTTCTTCTAAGTGTATAACTCCATTAGGTTCTCCCTAGCCTTTTTTTTTTGCAAGGGTACAAAACCTTTGACCGGCTAAATTGTGTGTGCTACCTCATCGAAATGCTTTATTTGTCTTTAACAATAACAATGGCCTATTACTTCATCAAAAAAAATTGGAAAAAAAATAAATGACAGTGGCCTATTAGACTTTCAAGAGCCCAGTAAGGTGATTCCATTAATAGTGCATCTTGCATGGGAGTACTTGTTTGTGATGATATTGTACTTTATTTATAACGAAGTAACTTATCAAATATAAAATAGTTATGATTGGGCGTATTTGATTAATCCGAGCAATGTGTCTGGTTACTAACACTGAATGGATGATTATTTATCGGCCGTAAATTTAATATTAGCAAAGAAGGGAAGATATCGGCAAATGTGTTGCTATGGTAACTGTTTAGTGTGTTTGGGGCATCGGGTGATGCAGGGATTTTGAAGGACAAGTATTTCTTCTCAAAAGAGTTTATAGTATAAGTAGTGTCCTTTTAAGGAGTTGGGTGACTTTTCCGACCTGCTTGGTTTTCTTCTTTATATGGAGGACTCTGTGTGCTTGTCCTTGGTACTACTGTATGATTTTCAAAGGTTCCTCTTTTATGAAACAGATATTTATGCTAATTGCAAATTTTGCAAGGTGAAGAGAAAGGACATTTTACTCTATATGGGCTGCGACTCTTCTGATCATCCTCTTAATGCTCTACTCTTTTTGCTGCTAATTTCAGGTTAGTGGAATGCCGACATTTTGTATTCCCGTTCAAGATGGGGGTGTTGGCTTTGACTATCGGCTGCATATGGCAATTGCTGATAAATGGATTGAGTTGCTCAAGTATGCTGTTTCTAAAGCTTCATATGCTTATCCCTGAAATTATATATATATTTTGATGAAGTAAATTGATTTGATAAATGTATGGGAAAGATACTGAATACAAGAAGTATTTCAAAAATAGAGAACATAAAATTAGTGTGTAGATGCTGTCAATTTGAAGTTCACAATAGATGAGGCGACTCAAGCACAAGCACTGAAACATTTTAATGTGGTCTACACTGAACAAGTGCATATCTTGTTTGCTGTTGGTACATTTTTCTTTCCTTTTTCGAGAGCCCCTTTTGAGGGATAGTAACTGGTCTAGAGAAAAGTAGTTACATGTTCTCTTTAGGTTTTACTGGATCCCTCTGTTAACTCGTGAAGTTTTCTCATCAATGCTGCAAGATAAGATTCTTAGTAAGCAGTAATCTGAATCACTCAAAGAGCCAATAGGATGCTTTCCAGGTGAAAACCATCTGCACTAGCTTCTTTTGCCTTTTTATTTGTTTTCAATGTGCAGCAGTTCTGATGGTGATGGTACAATAATCAGGATACATGGACTCGTGCAATCAAGCCAGCCTATCTCCTTTTAATCACTAGCCAAAACCCATTTTTGATTACAATTTCTTGGTTTGCATTTCAAATTTATTCTAATCTAGAAGCATCCGAACCATTTTCTAGGGTGAGGCATAAGTTCAACAAAGGGAGAGTAGTGGGGGAAGCTTGTTTACCTTGTATATGTAGAAGGCAATGTTAGCCTTGTGTAGGGGAAAGAAATGGAAAAACAAGTATATGATTGCATCCATGGTTGGACTGTTTGCCTAAGAAAAATAATGGTGCCATCTCGTAGAAAGTGTTTCACTGTTTTGGTAATTTCTCAATGTCTGATTGATGTAGTGTTTGGTTATGTGAACTAGTATTGATTTCGAACTATCTCCTCAAGTGAGGCAAAGATGCATGTGCTCTTGTTCTGAGACAACTCAGAAAGATTATTCTGCGACTGTCCAACTATAAGCAAATGATCTCAGTGTTGATGCTATTACGCTGGGTTGCAATGCGTGTCTACTACTTGTTTGACTATATGCTTTCTCTATCCAGAATACAAAACACTCGCTTGCTCTCAGGATATGCTCCTTAATATTTTGTATTTTGACTTCAGTTAATTTCCAGCAGTTCATATTTTTCTCTATGTGCAAGTCGCTGATCTAGAAAACTCTTTTTTTTTTCTAACACTGTTTGTTACAGGAAAAGGGATGAGGATTGGAGAGTGGGTGATATTGTTCATACACTGACAAATAGAAGATGGTCGGAAAAGTGTGTTTCATATGCGGAAAGTCATGATCAAGCTCTAGTTGGTGATAAAACTATAGCATTCTGGTTGATGGACAAGGTTATATATACTTTTTCTGTCTTTTCTCAGCAATCAAATTGAAACTTAAGATTGGGCATGCCACTTGAAGGAGAACTTTAGTTTTGCATTATTAACTCATCCATTTATTCGAGGGAGAAGTCTGCATTCTTTCACCCACCAGTTTTATTAGAACGACCTTACCCCAAGCTTGGAAAGGTAGAGAGGCTGTTCCACCAGTTCTATTAGATATTCTATAATTTCACAAAACTATCAGCTTCATTTCTGAAGTAAATTTTCTCTGAAGGATGTATTCATACATGAATCTACTACTTTCTCCCTTTTAAAAAAGCACCGTCATGTTCTGTATAAGCTGGATATTTTCTGTGTATTTTGATGATTACCCTTTTTATCTCTTTAATAGTAATGAGTGAGCATGAGTATCCCCTGTCCTTTAAGCATTACAACAGAATGGAGTTGTTAACACGCAATTATGTCAACTATGAGTCTATATAACGCCCCAAAATTACGTCTTCAAGGGCTAGAGCTGTGTTTTTCTTGATTTAGTTTATCAAGTTCTCATGTAATGCCC